GAGCCAAATTGTTCATAACTACAAATCACAACAGATTATCATATTTTCAGATTCTCAAAAACAATATAGTCGAAGTCAGTTTATTTTTATCACTAGAATCATAAATTTTTTTTCCAGGCTGGTGTAACTCATAAACATTTGCCTCTGAATTTTCTGCAGTTTACAGTATTTAAGATAAAGTCAAGTACGGATAAAGTTCAAAAGTCGTAAAGTTGCATTACTGCTTTGCACATCTGTGAGGTACCAATCCTCTGACCAATTTATATACCATAAAATGAGATTGTAGATGGATACTGTAAAATATTTTATTTTAGCTGGAATAAATTTTCGCTGAAAAGACTTTTTGGGTGTTTTGTATGGAATTTATTTTCACTGATTTTTCATGAGTTGAATGTAAAATATAGGAAAAAAGGTAGATTCGATGGATTTTATTTTCACTGAATCATTCCTTCAGCGAAAATTAATTCCAAGCGAAATTAAAGCATTTTCAGTATTGAGAAATTATCTGCAAATATGAATATAACCAAGCCTCACAAATTACCATAGATATATTTGTCTTTCAGAGCACTGGTACCCACAAAAATAATGCGTGGAAAGGCAGGATAACTACTTTTAAACCATACATAAAACAACATAATTTTTACACATTTTTTTAGTTTGTTCTGGGAGTGATATTTCTCATAGTTTCAAAGTGTGAATGCAACTTTTAAGTGGCACAGTCATTGCACAGCGCATGTCTGAATGTTTTTACACAGGTTGTATACGTTGCCTGGCAACCATATCTAACACAAATCGCTATGACAACTGTCTCACTTTAAAGATGACAAGCAGATTGGATTGATGTGATATTTTAACTTTCCAAAATCTTCATTCTGGTCCCAACTCAGTACAAATAATACAAGAACCTCTATCCAAAGTGGAAAACAGAATATGATTCCTTAAAAATATATTCCCATTCATATATCATCGTGATTATTATGGACTCTTTGACAGCGATTTTTTTTTCCAAAACCAAAAATTTAATGTAGAGGTTTCTAAAAATGTATATTATAATAGGTAAATAATAGTTTGCATTGTATGTACCTGGCACTATTTAATGAGCAGCGATAATTTACCTGGGTAGGAAGTAAAAGAATTTTCTGTCAAAATTATTGAAAAGTTAACATTTCCTGTTTACAGTTTGTTTATTAAAATGTCTGCCTAACCAGTATTAATCTGTGTTAAGCTGAAACTTGTCTGAATGTCTGCCTAACCACTGTTAATCTATGCTAACCAGTGTTAATCTATGCTAACCAGTGTTAATCTGCATTTACCAGAAACTTTACTAAATGTCTGCCTAACCTAAGTTCTGAACCAAACATTATTTTTACCCTTGTCGGTGTTTAATGTTAATAGACATATGTCACTGCAGTGAGAAAGATACATTATGAATATACAGAGACCTTGAACTATTCAGCCACTGACACAAAGTCTGCATGAAAATGAATTTATAAAAAAAAGTCATTTTTCTAAATTAAATATTGTCAAATATCTTTCACAGACTTTTTTACTGCCCTATAAATAAAATGTCTTTTAACATATTAAATACATAAATATACCGTACATCCTTTCACTTGTGCAAAATACCCTTTTAAGACAATTTTATACTTTTTTATGTATTGTTCTATAAGTTCTTTGTTATTTTTTACACCAAATGAATATAGTATTTATTACTTATAGGTATAAATATGAAAAAAAGTATATTTGCGAAAGTTTACTTTGGCAATTGAAGGATTAGACTAACATCAACAACAGACATATTAGTCTGCATAACTGGATTCAACCAGTTTACCCAGCATGCATCACAACTATACACTTATTACTAGCCCATGAGAGCCAAGCTAACAAACCATAATTCCATATTTGTGTCTACCTTAGCCTACCACAAATAAAAAACACACATTTTTTGGTATGCAAAAAAACATTTTTCAAAGTGGTGCAATGTTTTCACTGTATTATCTGATGTGAGGTACAGTCGAGAGTGCGATAGAGTAACTTTGCAGCAACTTTTTTTATTCCTTCTTCTTCTTGCGTAGGATGCCACCAATTTTTTCTAGTATGAGAGCATAGTATTTAGCTAACAGTCCATGATGTTTCAACCCCGGAAGTAAGACCAAGAACACACCTGAAACAAAACGACAGCGACAATAACCATTGTTTCTACAGGACTATTTACATGTAAGACCAGCCTCAAAAAGATACTATACAAAAATAATAGTAAATCATGCTATTTAAAATATAGAATATTCATTTCAAAACACCCTCATCATCAGAGTTGAATTGAGTTATAAAACACAGTCAAAAGTGAGCACAATTTCAAATTGCTAAGTCTGAGAATATAATTTAGGATTTATGGAATATCTGGTTTTCTAGACCTTTTTAAAACCTCAACAGATTTCTCATATTTTAGATTTTTTAAAATTGTTTAAAAAGAATAAAGTTGAGTTAAGATCATTTTAACACATTTGTGGGAACCCAGAAGAAAGACATTTTACTTGGCAAATTAAACACAGTGTATGGTATCCATTGTCAATATGAGTCGGAAATACCAGTACCGTTAATTATGTAGAATACGTCAATAACAACTTTGCACATGATATCACCAGGGCTCAGCTTGTTTTACATGTGTTCTAATAGTAAGTTTTTTGTGGAGATCCAATATGGCTGCCAATGTCTAGGCAACCACTCTCAAAATAGTACTGCAAAACATGTCTTTTTAGCTAGCATGTTATTTTAGCTAATTTAGCTAATCTGTAATTTCGCTAATTCAAGATGTAGCTATTTTAACAGAAAGTATATTCTCACAGGGAGAAAGTCAACACTTTAGCTAAATTAAGATTCTGTTAATTCATGCCAAGAGTCAAACCTGCTAAAATTGCATGCAGCTATTTCAACATGTTCTACAGTAACTTATTGTTGAAATGGCCATAAAAAGGTACATTCCACAATTTTAGATGTATTGTACCGTATTTGTCTTCAATTAGGCGCCACTTTGTTACACTTTCATGTCATGGTGGCGCTTATTTGTGGTTAAATTTGAGCAACTTTGTTTCAAATGGCGCTTATTTCAAGCACTTCAAGTTCTAGTACCGGTAACTGTGTTACAAGCCATTGTTTTTGCTCTATTCTGGTGATAGATTATTGACAATATTT